AAGACGGAAGCAGAACAAAGGTGCTCTCTCTCTCTCTCTCTCTCTCTCTCTCTCTCTCTCTCTCTCTCTCTCTCACACGCAGCAGGGGTGTCAAACTCATTAGGTTCTGTGGGTTGACCCTCCATCCATGGGCTGGATTGGGCCCATATCCTGGATCTGGCATATGGGGCCAATCTATGTCCTAGGTCTAGGGCAGCTGGAGTGGGTGCCATGTGCAGTGTGGTCTCAGACCGGCTGCTTCAGGGCTGATCGCACTACATGCAAGGGTCATGCTAGCCCCCAAGATCATGTCAGATCCAATGTGTATCCCAGAGTCGATGTCTTCTGTGGCATGTGACCCAGAGCAGATGGTCCGGGATTGCGCTGCATGTGGCAACCTCTCCCGCTGCTCTGGGGCTGTGCTGCATGTGGCACCTGCTCTGGCCACTTAGGGATGTGCGGTGGGTCTGGCATGGGGTGGGCACAGCCTGGAACAGGCACCACTTGTGTTGTAGGCCCGGAGGAGCTGGAGCAGGCACCTCCATGACACACAGGGCAATCTAGAACATACCACAGGCAGCACTTGGGGCTGAATGGTAGGGCTTCACAGGCTGGATCTGGTCTGAAGAACAGTATCTTTGCCACCCATGAGTTATAGTGATCTTAGAGGCCAATTTACAATATGAATAAGTAAACAGTTTTCTGTCAGAAGTGTGATGCAGTCAATTTAAATGATCTCTTTTATATCATGATTCTAAATCTAGATATGTTCCAGTCCTTAATTTTTGGGTTTAGATTGATGTCTAGAAAGAAAGGTCTTGAGGTCAGTTTGAGTATGTGTAACAATGAGCAACTAACTTATAGCCTAAAAGAGGGGATTCCCAAGTCTGAATGCAAGATATGGGTGAAACCTGTAAATCCCTAGGTCAGTGGTTCTTAACCTTTTTGGTACTGGGATCCATTTGTAAATACTGATGGCCAGTCCTGACCCAGTAAACAGTTTAAGTAGAAAACAGACCCCTGGCCCTTCCGGTACAACTCACTCCTGACCTGCTGCCCCTCAGCCCCAGCTCCCACCTGATATGTGTGGGGTGGGGGGCAAGTAAGCCTTTGCATGCTGGAACTCTGCCAGCCTGCAAAGGAAAAGCCATGGTTTCCCACATTTTTCTCCTTTAAAGGGGAATCTATTTTTAATGTTTGTTCATGACCCTTTCATACATGCTTGCTACTCACGGGTTGAGAAATGCTGCCTTACGTGGTGGTAGGCAGGCCCTAACTTGCCTACCAGAAAGCGTGTTCCCTTTCCTTTCCTGTGACATGTTGTCACACTGTTGCAGTCACAGATGAGATTCTAAAAACACCCCGTTTGCTTACAGAAGACAGTAGTTGCCTTCTGCTGCCTTCTGAGAGAGCCGGAATTTGATGATTTTTCTGGGCCCACTGATAAAGCATTTGTCTGATGGGGTTTAGGGTAAAGAATGCTGCATGTTGTTTAAGGGTAAAGGTTGCCTTGAGTTTTCTAGTATTTATTTGTTGTCAAAATTTAAATGATCTCCATGTGACTGTTTAATGCTGTTGCTGGAAATTAGTTTTTTATGTATGTTCAACCTGAAGGGTTAAATCTAAATAAATATAACTGCAAATTGTCACATGGGCACAATTTATAATGTAATTAGCAGCCTTTTGTTAAAAGGAGAGAGGGAGAGATCAATATTAGAAAACTAGCTTTTCCTGAAATCACTATGATTTTTGAAAAATGAACAAATAATTTAAAATATATTATTTTATGTTTGATTTGCAGTGAACTTAGGTCAGTTAATTAAAAAAACCCATGAAATAAACTGATTGGTTGATTGCAGTGGCTAGACTAAGATTCATTGTAGTTCATTAGCTTGTCTTGGAGCAGGGGTGGCAGAGTAAAATTGGTCCATAGGCCATATTTCCTGCTTTGCAGGTGTCTGCGGGCCACACCTGCTCTGGTAGCAGTAGATTCTGACCATGGTACTGTCAGGGCTGCTAGGAGTATAGCTCTTGCTGGGCCTCTGGCAGCCATGATGAGAAACTCTACCATCATGTCAGTAGATACTGCTGTGGGGGGAGCTGTCAGTATGGCCAGCAGCCAGGGATTAATGTGGATTTGCATTCGCTCCTCAAGCTTGAGCTGCTATGGGGTCTGATGTTGGCATGGCCCTTGCTACAGTTGCTCATCCCCCCACTTCTGAGTGGACACAAGAAATGGGGAACTGTAAATTTGGCAGCAGCTGCAATAAGTACTGCATTACTACCTCCCTGCAGCAGCCTTAGCCTGATGAGAGGATATGAACCCCGCAAATGGATGACTCCTTCCCCTGCTCCTTCATTGCAGCTTGGGGACAAGACAGCAGGTTGGAGGCCCATGCCCATGGGCTTTATCTGGCCTGTGAGCCCTGAAGCAAAATGTGCATTGACAGCTTTTTTTTACCTCTGACTTCCCTGGGGATAAAAGTAAACTTTCTCTCTGTTAGCATACTTCATTGAAATGTTTAATACCTAAGTTTTCTTTTATTTAAATAGTGTCATTGATAGTTTCTAAAAAACAAAAATCCAAAAACTTTTTCTCTTAGCTGTCTAATTATGAAAGCCAGATTGCCAAGTTACGATGTGAAGTTGAGAAAGGAGAAGCTGTTCGACAAGGTCTAGAGTATGAACTAGCTATTGCTAGAAAGGATGCTGGTCTTGAAAGATATTCTGCAGAAGAAAAGTTAAATGAAGCAAGCAAACGACTTGGACAACTGCAAGGTATGTTTATAGGGGTTTGGGTTGTAAATACTGAACACAGGCTGAATATAGAGAGACTCAAGCAGACAACTAGGCTGTGGCCCTCTCTTGCCTTTCTGGTTTCATTTACAGCTCCCTATTAGGACTCTTGCCCCTCTTTCCCTCCTTGTAGGATGGCGGCGGTGTATCTGTGCAGCGCTGCCCGGCTCAGCCCAGCCTGGGTGCAGGGAGAAGTTGTCACTGAGCTGCAGCTGCTGGGGGTGGGCCTGCCCCTGCAGCCTGGGGTGGCCCTGCTCAGCCATGGCTGAGGCAGCAGAGCTGGGCCGTGGTCGCGGGTCCATTCCCAGCGGCTGCAGCTCAGTGACCGGGGTGGGGGAAGGGGGGGAGGCTGAACCCTGTCAGTGAGTGCAACCTGGCTTGGTGTGCATGGGTGGGTGGCAGCTGGCTGGGCAGTGGGCTGTCCAGGCTGGCTCAGAGGCACCACGGGGGCTTGTGGTTCTGCAGCGAGCCTCTGGTAGGTGGCTGCTGGGCTTTCGGGCCTGCCAGCGCATCTGAGCTTGCCCAGGTAGGCCACTGGCCGGCCAGCAACCGCCTGTGGATGCCAGGCCAGGCTGCACTCACAGACAGGGCTTAGCCTCCCCGTCACAGAACCGCAGCTGCCTGGGATGGCCCTACCCCCACAGCATAGGCCATGGGGGCAGGGCCACCCTCAGCAGCTGAGGTTGAGTGGGCTGGGTCAGGCAGTGCTGCACAAAGTCCCCCTCCCTGCCCTGTGGCGATGGGGTCAGGAGGAGGGGAAAGAGCCCCCCTCCAGCACTGAACAGACCACCCCTCCCCACCTTGCAGGTGGGTGGAGGGGTGGGAACAGTCCCCATCTGGGGCTGGGCAGCCTGGCACAGAGCTCCCCTCCTTGCCACAGAGGGGAGAGGGAGGAGGGGGAAAAGTCCGGCTTCAGCACTGCACAGAGCCCCCTCCCCCACCCTGGGGAGGGGGGAGGTGGAGGAGGGAGAAGAGTTGCCCTCCAGCACCGAACAGAGCCCCCCTTCCTGCTGGGTGGAAGAGGGAGTAGCAGAGGGATGAGGACCCTCTGGGTCCAGGCAGCTCTGCACAGAGCCCCCTTCCCCACTCTGTGGTGGGGTGGCAGGGAGGAGGGGGGGCTGCTCCATCCCAGCTGCAGTCCCCTGTTTAGGAGGTAATTAACCCCTTTTTCTGCCCCCTTAGCCTTAATGGGGTGATGCCAGAATGGCTGCAGTGGGACAGAGAAGGAGGGGAAGAATAAACTCCTCCTGGGCACTCTGACAGAGGTCCCTCCCCTTCCCCTTGCTGCTCCAGTGATGGATGTGGCCAGATGCTGTCCGGGCATAGCCCCCTTTAGGTGAAGGGGACAGGGAAGAGGGTCTACCAACCCCAGTTTAGTCTGGACCCCTGGCTGCCCCCTCTGCCTCTGCTGCTCACCCACAGGCGGGCAGACCCCAGCTGTGGTGGGGGAGAGGGGAAGGAGGGAAGGATTAAGGTGAAGAGGGCAGGAAAGGGGTTAACAGGGCCATGCCAGCTGGTGTTTCACCACATCTCTGCCCCTGCTTCAACTAGAGAGCAGAGGGGCATGGCCAGCCCTACTCTCTGGAGCAAACAGCACAGATCAGTCCAGAGAGCATGCTGGGATGCTGGAGGTTTCTGGTTTAACTTAAAACAGAAAGGGGTCTGGGATAGAAGTTGCATAAACTGGCTTGACCCAAGTCAGTTTAGTCTGATACTACCAGGCTTATTTTAAACCAGTTTCAGCCATTTTGAAACTGGTTTATGTGCATTGAACATCTGTACTGTTACAGGTTTAAGCCAGTTTCTGATCACTTAAACCGCTTTATGTGCAACTTCTGTCCCTAGCCACTAAGGCTCCATCTCCTTTCCTTTAGCTCTGTGCCCCTCACTGGCAACTCCCTTTCCTTCTATTGTCTCTTATAGATCACTGTCATATACTATTCTTTTTTCCAGGCCTATAATTTTGATGTCATTTTTTAATCCTATTTGTGCTTCTCTCGCCACATTCTGGTTCTTTTTTCTCCATTTTTATTGTGTTAAAACCGAACTTACTATACCTGATCTTTGGCCACCTTGTATCTCATTCATATTCTCTTTTTAAAAAGGTTTTCCTTCTCTCTCAGAGATCTGATCATAACCTCTTTGACTCTTCCTCTGGATTTGGTATGAAGTATAAGCTGATTTTGGTCGCCTCCCTGTCTTGCAGTTTAAGTTGGTAGGGCTTTTTTTTCCTCCTTCTGTTCAATATAGAGGAGGACGTAGTCCTAGGACATTCTGTTTTTTGTACAGTAGAAATCTAGGTTTTGTCTGTTTTGGAACTCTGCCTGACTGGAGTATAGGCAAGTGTTATAAAGCAAAGTGATTTTTTTTTTTGTGGTGATTTTTTTTTTTTTCAAATACCTTTGAAAAGTAAAACAGTTAAGAAATATGTCTTTGTATATTGTGTCTGAATGCTGAACATCAACTTAAGTGCTTAGAAAGACTACTTGTTAACCAAAGAGACATAATTGATATGCCTAAGGAAACAGCTAAACTGATTATGGCACTTTAAATAATTGAAAAAAAACAAACAAAATAATACCTTTCAAGATTACCTTATATATTCTAAGAAGCAAAGTAGGACAAACACTAGAAACGTTTTCCTGTGCAAGCTGTCGTAAACGCTGCAGGCTAAAGATTTAATTGGTAGAAAACTTTTTTTTCTATTATTAGGAAGCTATATGCTTTCCTTTACTTGTTAATTATAATGCTCTTTTAGTTGCTACCTTTTAGGTGTCATCTTTAATATTTAACATTGTAGGAGACTTTCTACCTAAGATACGGCTGTCAAAATGTTGTTTTGTGACCAGCTTTCAGATTTAAGGAGCTAATTAGCTGTTGAAAAAGTCAAATGCTGATTTTTATTGCTTCCCTCTTCTGGAGTCCCTGGCTTCATATTCATTTTCCCTTGTGATTTGGCATCTTCTTTAGTCTTTGCTTGCTTGCTTGCTGCTTTAATGTGCTATCTGTCTCTATTGTTGGCTAATTTGTCAGATGGGCTTCTGTGAGTTAGCAGCCTTTTTCAATATTTCTTCTAATTTCTCTGTTCTCCTTAGGTAGCTTTTACTCTGTGCTGTTTAATTATCATTTTTCTTGGTTTATTTGTTGCTACTTTTACCTCCTTTTTTTACTAGACTTTACTAGGAAGTCTAGTTTTCTGCTTCTAATTTTTTTTAAAGCGATCGTGAAAGGAAAGAATTTTAAAATGATGATCACTGTACTCGAAAGTTGTGTTCAGTTAATTCTCAGTACCTCTCTGTGTATATGGTAAAGTAAGGAAATGAAAACATACAAAATTAGCCTACAAGGTCCATTCATGTGTATGTAGATGTAGGGATAAGTTCTTAATTCTTCTGCAGGATAAGAGGAATTTTTAAAGAGAGCATGTTTAGAAGGATGAGACCATATATTGAGTAACAAGGAACCTGAATAGTTTGGAATTTTTATTTCAAGAGGTCTAAGAACCAAAGTCAGGCACAGGATTTGGTTGTTCTGACAGGGCCTGCAGAAAATCAAGTGAAGTACAGAATGCAGTTACTTTAAAGTAGTGACGGAGAAATGCATTATAATATTGGAGGCCAGAAGGAGACTAGTGTTTTAGGGCAGGGGTGTTAAACTCATTTAGTCTAGCTGGCCAGATGAGTGGTGTAGGGCCTGCTAGGGTTACCATATTTCCAGGTCCAAATACAAGGACACCTGTTGGGGGTGGGGGGAGAATATGCTGTTGCCTTCCCCCTACCCATTCTGTTGCCCCTCACTGACCAACCACAACCCCCCCCACCCAGCCCTGCTGCTGCTGCCCCTCACTCCCAACCCACTGACCCCAGCCCTGCCAGTGCACCTCACTCCCAAAAAGCAGTACCCTGCCCCCCCTGCTGGTGCCCCACACCCCCAACCCACAGTCACCTGCCCCCTCCCCCCCATGCCCCTCAATCCTGATCTGCAGCCCCTGCCCCACTCCCAGCTCTGCTGGTGCTCCGCACTCCTGACCTTCTGTGCTCCCTGCTGCCTCAGATCACCCTTCCCCTGCTCTCACCAGTGGAGCAAAGCAAAATTGTGAACTCAGCTCTTGATCGCACATTCGCCACACTAGGTATTTTGGGAACTGTAGTTCTACCTAGCAGCAGCCATGTTGAACACGGTCCAGGGGAGGAAATCCTGGAATTTTTGCTTGCATTTAAAACCCGCCTGGATGCAGCACAGGGGGCCAAATAGAGGATGGGTCCAGGAAAACTTGGATGTATGGTAACCCTAGGCCTGTCCACAGCCTGGATGAGTGGCATAAAGCTTGTCCATGGGCCAGGTGCTACAATTTACCCTGGACCAGCTTTTCACATTGTGTGTGGGTCCAGTCCAAGACCCCTGGGAGAGGTATGGTGGGGGGGCATATGCCCCCCTAGAATTGTGCATGGGGCAGATGATGGCTGCCTGCTGTGGGATCAGGGATGTCCACACTGTTGCCTTTTGCCTCAGGATCTGTGTGCTGGCTGCACACCTGCTGCCCACCTGGTGGCAGTGGTGGTGGTGAGTTGTGCTCCCTGCTGCCAGGTGGGCTGAGGACACAGAGTGGTGAGTGCGCGGCTCCTGGGGCAAAAGCAGCAGGACAGACAGCCCTGAGCCCTCAGTGGGCATCCTGCATCAGCCCTCGTCTCGCTTAGCTCCACTGCTAAAAGCATCCCTACGCTTAAAAGTGGTGGTGGCAGTGCTTGAACTAAAGCTAATTTGACAAGCTTTAGTTCAATCCCTGATGCTGCCATTTTTAAGCACTGGGATGCTGATCCCCTGGACGAGCCTCCTGCAGCTTCATTCCACTCCCCTCCCTTGCATCCCATTCACTGCCCTGGCTTGGCAGCACTCCCAGCCCCAGCTCTAGCCCCCTGCCCCACTACCTCCCTCACCTTGGGGCCCTTGATCTGCCCCTGCCATGCCCTCAACTGTGCTCCTGTAAATTGGTTATCGGATTGGTATTGGCCAATATGCCTGGTAAACTATCAGCTATTGGTATCGGCCAAGAAAATCTCTATTGGTGCACCCCTGACTGTTACAGATGTGACAATGCAGATACGTTGAGTTGAGCTTTAGGATCTTGACAGTAGGTGCAAAGGACCAGGTCATGTGTGGTGTGGTCTGGTCTGATGGTTAAAACACTAAGGAAAACCAGAGGCCTGGCTCTGGGTCTGAGGGCAGGATTCATTACCAAAATGAGAAGGAAATCCAAGAAGCAGAGTCCACAACATAGTCCAGGGTCAGGATCTGGGGATGAGATGCTGAGTACCAATCCGAAGGAAGATCCACAAGGTGAGGTCCAAGAACAGAGCCAAACCAGGAGCAGGACCAGGATACAGATCTGCAGGAAAATCCAAAGCCAAAGTCCAGAAATATGCCAAAACCCAGAGTCAGGAACCAGGAGGCTTGCAATGGTAGAACTGTTGACTGGCCTGCAAACCTGGGGCCCTAGCTGCAGCTAAATGTATAGGCAGCACTCTCAGCAGCCAGTCAGGTTGCTTACTGTTCCAAAACTGGGAACAGTATTTGCTGAGACTTACTGGAGGTGCGCCTACTGAGGGACTTGGCCTGGACTGGCCTGCCTGATCAGAGTCCCTGACAGTAGGTGATCTGACTTGGGTAGCAGAAGTTACATAGTTTTAGCTGAAGTATATTCTTCTTATCAGTAGAATATAAATAATTAAGGTGAAGACCAAAATTGAAGCTGAAGAAAGAGAGGTAGCACAGGAGATGCAGACAATTGTGTTTGCAGAGACCAGTATCCAAATAGAAATTGTTTGCCAAAGTCAGTGAATTGTATTGAAATATGAAATTAATAACTCTCTCAATCGCTTCTGAAAAATGGAGATGATTTTTGCTTGCTTTTTCAGAGGGGCTTAATTTTAATTAATTAATGTCTGTAATACACTTTGACAGTATATAGAAGATATTATGGAAGTACAAAATAATAGCATTATTTTTTTTTATATATATAATAGCAACAATCTGTTTCCAGAAACATTAATCTTCTAACACATTTTCTATTATATACTAAACAAATAGAACACGTAGAGGAGCTAATGTTGGTTTTACCATTAACTTTATATTTGCCAATGTTCTCTTTCTTAAAAGCAATTAATGCAGAGCTTCAAAAGAAAGTGACAGAGACTGAGAGAGCCTTTCATATTGCTCAGCAGAAGTGGAAAGAGCATCAGCAAAGACTTGCAGCTGACTTAGAGGAGAAAGATAAAATCCTCAAGACCTGTAACAGTGAATATGAATTGCTTCTGAAGGAGAGGACTAAATTGGAAAGTGTTCTACAGGTATAATGTTTTAAAGTAGTAATAATGAAAGGAATGGGATAATGATTTCCAGACTTCCTTTTATTTTTATTTTTTTCTGAATAAAACTAAAATCTCAGACAGTATCCCCAGAGAATATGAAATATTCAGCTTACATTTACAAAAGTGTATTTATTTTCTTCTTTTGCTAAGAGTTATACTGTAATATGCTCCAACTCCTGAGTACCTTGTTCTTTCATGAAAAATGATTTCTAAAATTACGTGGTTTAAAAAAAGCTATTATCGTGTGTGTGTGTGTGTGTGTGTGTGTGTGTGTATAACACATGCACATATACAGCAAAAGCTGTTATCCAGCATCCCTCAGGAATGGGGGATGCTGGTTAATCAGATATGCTGGTTAATCAAACGTGCATCATCTGGTGCTCTCCCCGGGCACAGGGAGGGGGGGCCCCCATGCAGGCTGCTTTGCCGTGCACAGGCTGCTTTGCCTCGGGCCGTGGGCTGAAGAAGTGAAGAACTCAGCCCATGGCAGCAAAACCTGAAATGGGACTTGTGATTTTGCTTTTGCCACATCCCTTGGGTGCTGGTTAGTGGAGCTTTCCGGTTGATAAAGTGCCAGATAACATAGCTTTTGCTGTAAAACACAAATGGCAAGGAGCTCTACCACTGTGAAGATGCCAGTGCAGATAAGGACTCTCGGCATAGATTGAAATGATAGTCGCAGCTTCCTGTGCTGTGTGCTGGACTTCTGAAGGCAGAACTGGATTGCTGGTGTCATGATTCCCTGCCACTTAGCAAAAAAAACCTAAAGCTGAGAAAAGGCTGTACAGTCTTGTGTTGCAATTGCATGCTACTCTTCAAATCTTAATTTTACATTCCAAAACAAAAATGTTAGAATACTGTTAAGACTGGATGGATGAACCACTTAAGAGTAGAAGACATGATGAGGATATTGTAATTATTTCATAACCAGCCAATCAAAACCAGAATGTTTAATATCTGAACATTATACTTAAAGAAATATAAGCCCGTTAAGGTATGGACACACAGAATTAGAGCACCCAAGAGTACTTTATTTTGCATGATAGTGACACCAGGAAGTAAGTATGCAATTATGATGAAAATATTTTAATGTTTGTGGTACTAAATTAGAGCAAACTGATTTTTACACATGGCTTTTGCACTATTTGAAGAGAAAAGTACTCCATATAATTTAACATGCATATCCTTTATGGGTTTTTTTAAGAAGTAAAGCACAGCAGTTCTTACAAGGTATGGGTTTGTCAATAACCCAGTGTGGTTACAGAACAGAAGAATAGATTGCTGCTTACAAATGCAACATCTTCTATTCAGAATTACTAGCCAATTGCCCATCAGGAATGACCAGGGGGGTGGGGAGTGTGCGGGGACAGAGCCCCATTTTCCCCCTCCCCCTGGTCTGGGTCCACTCCCCCTTTACCTTCTGCTCCGTGGGGTCCAGGCCCACTTCCCCCCCTCCCCCCTGCAGTGGCGAGGGGAGGGGAGGAGTGGGCTTGGGCCCGATTCGGGGGAGGACCAGGTCCAAGGGTGGGGAGAAGCTGGCCTACTTTGGTGGGGGGAGCAGCGGGCCTGGGCTGACCTGGCGGTGGTAGGGGAACAGGAGGAGCAGGCTCAGAGCTCACGGGGAGTGGGCCTGGGCCCAAACGGGGGGAAGCCTGATCTGGAGAAGAAGCTGGCCCACTGGCGGTGGGGTGGAGCAGCGGGCCTGGCCTGATGCAGCAGTGGCTGAGGGAGGGGAGGAGCGAGCCTCCTCCCCCTCCTTGGGCCCGGGCCCACTCCTCCCCCTCATCAACTCTGAGCCCACTGCTTTTCCCCTCCTGCCGCTGCCACTGGGTCAGCCCGGGCTGGCTTCTACCCTGGCTCGGGCTTGGTCCTTCTCCCCACTCTCCAGCGTGGGGCCTGGGCCCACTCCTTCCCTCCCCCCATGGCTGCCGTGTCATCCTGGGTTGGGCCCTGCAGGTGGCGACGACCGAATGGGGGATCGGTGGGCCAAGGCCAGAGCTGTGGCCTCACCACCCCACAGTATCCTGATTCTGCCCCCCCCGCGCACTGCTGCCATCACCTACAAGGAGGGGGGGCGGTGAGGCCAGCTCCAGTGGCCTTACTCTCCCCTCCCCCATCATTGACACCTGTAGGAAACAGGGCCAGGGCAGGGGGGCCAGCAGTGCTGGTCTCACAGCCCCTGTTCCGTCTTCTCCATTTGCCCCTGCCTCCAGGGAGCAGGGCGGGGAGGGCGAGTCCAGCTGTGCTGTCCCCTGTATCCCCACCAGCATGGTGGTGTGCTACCAGCTCCTGTTCAAATGCTTGTTTGCACTCTGATTGGCTGTTTGTCAGTGCAAATAAAATGTTATGGATAGACAGACAGTCTGTTATAATATTAAAATACTTGGATTGTCATGGGGCATGGGTTTTTGGTGGGGGGGTTCACCACTTTTTAAGACTTTATATTGGGCTGATCCTCTCTTCAGCTAAGGAGAGTTGGATATGGCGTCTTCCAGACCCATTCCATTTCAACCTGAGCCAGCTCTAGAGGGTCTCCCCAAAGTGACATGAAGGGTTCTGTGACCTGGAGCTAGGAAGCTTAACTCTGATTGCAAGTATACTTTTTGTCCGTTAGGACACTGGTCATGGAAGCGAATTTCTGAATATGCTTTCCTCTAAAGATTGAATGTAAGAGTAGACTTACAAGGCTTAAATAATTATTTAGAAGCACAGTACATTTGATGATACATGTTTAAGTAGGATTTTCTAACTTCCTATTGGTGCTTTTCAATAATAAAGCAAGACTGTATCTATATCAAGGAAACTATGGAGCATCACAAAGAACAAAGGAATATGATGGAATCACAGATCAGGGAGACTACATTTAAGGAGTTTAGGTTTCAGTCAGAACAGTGGGAAGCAGGAAGAAGAGACTTCCAGATCATGTTGCAGGTATTTTACTATAAAGCACTAATTTTATAAAGACTGTTCTCCTTATATAAGTTAAGCATAGTATTATTGCTTAATTTATCTGATCAGTTAAGAGATCCTTGCTTACCTTTCAAAATCTTGTGAACATGTTACTGGTCTTCTGGAATCTGTTCAGTAAATCTTAACAACTACTTCCCGTCTTTGCAGTGGTAGAGCATTGACAGTGCCCTCATCCCCCCTGCTTTTGTCTGTGGCAAATTAGGGTTGTTTTGATGTATTTGGCATTGTGCCTTGTAGTTGTGCGAGAGGGTTGTTCACAAAGCTTTTAAATATAGGGTTAAGAATAGGTTAGACTAACAGTGTTCAAATTATGGCCTGTGGGCCTTATCCAGCCCCTGAAATGACTGAATCAGCCCATAGTACAAGGGACCAGCAGCAACCAGCTTGGCCTGGCACATCCCCTTTCTTGCTTGGCTCCATGCCACTGATTCCCTTTTCAGCCCAGAGGTAAGTTCTCTTCTCTTCATCTCTCTCTCCCTGCTTTTTCTTCTTCCCCTTTTTCTAATATTGGCAACCACCTTGGCCCTTCCTCTCTACCTCTCCCCCTTACCAGGGGGCACTGGTGGTAGCCTTTGCTCTAAACGTTTGATCTCTACTGGATTAAACAAACACTTGCTTAGGATGTTTTAGATAGGGATGAGTAGGGAGCTGGACTAAAAGATATCCTAAAGTCTGTTCCAGCCCTACTTTTTCTATGATTCTAAGGGCATGAAAGATGTTGGCTTATTTGATCCCTGGAGAGTGAAATTCATTATCTGTCTACAGAGTAGCTGTGGAACAGGTAGCCGTTTCTTCACCACTAATGTGTCTTCCTTCTGTGCAGGACAAAATCTGTGGTCCATGATGATGGATCTTCCTGTTTCAGTCAGAAGGCATTTGTTGTCCCTTTCCACTGAAATGTGGTCTTCTTTTTTTAGACTGTGCCAGCTGTGTTTCGGGGTTCATTTGTTTTTGGGGGGGGGTGTTTTGTTTTGTTTTTTAAAGTGAGCAAAAATATTTTTAAGACAAATATTTTTAGATATGCCAAAAGTCACTGTATGATAAGTCTGGTCACTGTTGATTAGGGCTGGATATGAATCAGTTGAGCTATTGGTGAGAAGCTTAGTGATCTTTCCAAGTACTTGATCCCCGTTTTTGAGATGTTTTAATAACACTTAGTTCATTATTTTAATACTAGCAAATTGCCTATCAAGAATGATGTGGGGTGAGGGGCGCAGTGGGGACAGAGCTCTGTGTCCGGCCCCACTCCATCCCCCTCTGGCCGCTCCTTGTCCGGCCCCACTCTACCCCCATCCTCCTCCCGGCACCTCGGATCCGGCCCCGCTCCCCCTCTCCCACCACTTCAGGTTTGACCCTGCTCTCAGTCCCCCCACCGCTTTGGGTCTGACCCTGCTTCCCCCCTGTCTCACCCCTGCCACTTTGGGTCTGGCCCTGCCCCTGCCCCACCCCCCCTTAACCCCCCTGCCACTTTGGGTCCGACCCTGCTTCCCCTCACGCCACTTCAGGTCTGGCCCTGCTTCCCTCTTTCCTCCCCCTCCCCCCCAGTGTTGCTCTGGGTGTGCCTGGCCCATGTCCACCTGCCTTCCCACTCTCCTTCCTCACTCCCTGCCTACCACCTTCCTCCCCCTCCCTGCCAGCTGTTCTGGCGGGCAGGGGTGCTGCCACTGTGATTTCCTCCCCCCTACCTTTGCCCTCAGGCAGGGAGGTGAAGGGGAAGCCCTGCTGCTGGGCCAGGGCGTGTTCCCTGTCACCACAAGGGACAGGGAACATGCAGGGGCAGGGCAGGTGTTCCCTGCTGCTAAACTTCCCCAGCAGCACAAACTTGGGCCCATGCAGCCTGGGCTGCCCAGCCAATTGCCACCTGCCCACTTGGCAGTGCATGTGTACTTGGCCAGAAGCGTTATAGACAGAGAGACAGAAACACGCATACACTAAACCTTTTATTATGTTAGAATACCCTGAGAGCATTATGTAAATATTAGAGGTGCACTGATACATCAGTCCAATATTGGATCAGCACTGATATTAAGAAAATTGCCTATATCAGAAATTGGCCTGATGTGGCTGATAATTTAGCTAATAAATGCCTGCGAGTGCATCCAAGCACACTGCAGCATGCAGGCAGTGAGGCGCATAGCTCGGCAGCTTGGAGAGCTGCATGCAGCTGGTAAGTCTGTTGTGGTGGAAGGGGAGGGGAGAGGGAAGAGGTGTAGCAGGGGCAGATCAGCCCCACTTCCCTTTCTCACTGTGGGGGGTGTTGATCTCCCTTCCCCTTCCACCACAACAGACTTACCAGCTGGATGCAGCTGTATTGGAAATCAGATCAGTATTGGCTAATATGCTTCCTTAAAAATCGGCTATTTGTATTGGGCCCCAAAATCTCTTATCAGTCCACCCCTAGTAAATATGATAAGTGTATAATCTGTTGGTGTCCTTTTAAGAGCTTTTCTGGCTCGTCAAATAAGAGTGGTGCAGAACCAGCATGAGTGAGTATATGAGACAAATTTTGAATGAAACACCCCAACCCTAGGAGCCATATTGATTTATAATAAAGCAGTAAAGTATGCAGTAGTGAAAGTAATTGGGTGAAGTGATCAAAGAACTTTATCTTATTAAAAATAGGTGACTCTCCTATGTAACTCTTGTAGTTATCAATGGAAAGTTTCTCATGCTCTTTTATCTTTTACCAAAAAAATAAAATCCACCAACCCCTTTGTTAATCAAATTGGTTGCAGTTTAGGTTCTGAGTCTGATTCTATGCTATGTTTTAAGAACAGTTCATAAGGGCTGGAGCAGGAAAAGTTTCTCCTCCATCTTGATTGCTAGATACTGCTTTTACTTTCTGTAGACTTGGGAAGGATATTGTGCTGATGAAATGGTGAGTGATAGATGATTATGCAGTGGATGTGTTCCTTTGCTACAAAGCATTTTTTCCACTGCTAAGTATTCTATACTATTTTTATTAGTATTTGTATTAACCTGGTGCTTAAGAGTCTGAGCCATGAACTGGTACCTCCTTATGCATACCTCTGTACCAGCAGTTAGCTGTAAGACAATCGCAGCCCCAAAGAGCTTACAGTTCAGTATGAGAAACCAGATACTCCTCCTTTGTACAAAGGAAAAAGTCCATTGGTCAACAAGGTGGGCAGTGGTATTAGTGCACCAGTAACTAAAACGTGAGTGAAGTTTTGGTAAGTATCATGGCGAATGTGAGCTTCTTAAAGGAATGTGAAGGAGAATAATAAACAGACGTTATAGATGTTTACAAAAAGCTTTTTCTAAAAATGGAGGATGACTTGGGTAAAGCATAAAGCAGAGGTCAGCAACCCCTGGCACGTGTGCCGAGCACGGCATGCAAGGCCATTTTGCTTGGCGCACCGCTGCCAGCCTAAGTTCTAAGCAGTTGCTGCCAGCCATGAAGCCCAGTCTGCTTGCAGCAGGGCTTGCAGCTGAGCCTGCCTGACTCCCACCCACTCCAAGGCCAGCCCCAGCCCACCCCCCCACCAGGATGAGGCTGGCGCTGCCCCTTGCCAGGAGCATCGCACCTTTTTGTGGGCTTAGCTGTGCAGGGTGGGTGGTTGGGCTGATGGGCAGGCTCTGGGCCGGGGCCTCGGCCAGATGTGCTGCAGCCTGGGGGCTGGCTCCCCGGGGAAGCACAGGGGCTCTGGTGGGACCAGGGCATTGTTGGGTTGGACTTTGTCCAGTGGCCCAGGAGCCGGGCTCCGTGCGCCAGTGCATCTGGTTCTGTGTCTCTGCCTCTGTCTGGTTCTCTGTGTCTGTGTGCACACATGTCTGGTTCTGGATGTGTGTGTATGTATGTGTCTGTTCTGGTTCTCTGTGTTTGTGCTTGTGGTTCGTTCTCTCTCATTGCAACATGCTTAACAAAAAAGGAATACACAACAACAAAAGCAACATTTATGGTTATTAAATATACTAATATGCAGTGCGTCCTGCCATATGAAGGTGCCTGACAGTGAAAACAAGCAATGTGTTTGCAATAGAGAAAGGGAAAAAGTAGATGGTAGGGTAGGGGGTGCCATGGTCAAAGTGATTTTGAAAGTGATCTTTACCGAAGCATTTGTAATAGATAGGAAGAGAACAAGACTACACTTGTCAAGGCCAGAAGAAAGGATGTTGCAATGTGAGATTGAGAGCGTTAGTTGGGCAGATGAATAGGAAAGGATCCATTTTAGGATATTGTTATATTGTATAGTATAATATGTTGCCTATTCTTTCTGCTTAACATTTTTGGGTGCAAGAAGTCGGAGTTGAAGATAATGCCTAGATTAGGGGTCTGAGTGATGGGAAGGATGCTGGTGTTATCCACCCTAATTAAGAAGGAAGGTAACAAAGAGGAAGTGGTGGTGGGGGATAATTAAAAGTTTGGTTTCAAAATGACCCATCTTTCTAACATCTTGCAAATGTGTAGCAGCTCAAGATTTTACTTTGGGCAGGAGGGAGTTTGTCAGCATGGAAGTGGCAGGAAAATTTGTGTTTTAAAGGCAAGTATACCCACTGATAAGCAGCAGAGGAAGAAAAGAAAGGAAGCACAGACAAATACAGGGGGAACACTCCTCAGCAATTTAGGGGATGACTGAAGAGAATCTTCAAAAGACACTCTAAAGGAACAGTTAGAGCTAGGAGGAGAACTAGGAGAGGGCAAAGCTACAGATGCCAAAGGAGGAAGAGATTTTTAAGTTGAGCTTGGTTGATGTCAAAAACAGTAGTCTGTAGAAATAATTGAATCCATTTTTGGTAGGAGTATTTTTTTCTGTCTACCATTTGGTCAAAAAGCATGAGGCTAGACTACTGTTCTTGAGCTTTGGCTAGGAAGAAGCCCATTGAGTGATTTGAGTGGAGTGCACAAGCAGAGGCTGAACTGGGAAGTTTGTGGTGGAATTGGAGTTCAGGCAGTGTTTAGATACCACGGTCATTTAACTTGGGGCTGAAAAGAAGAAGCA